TTTTTTTGGCCAGGATTGACCACCTCCTCTCCTCCCAGGCATATGCCACAATTTTTCATCATTTCCTCATAGAAATGAACAGAAATATTCAGTAATTTGGACAACTTGTGCAACTCAGTGCTTGTGGTGATACTTTTCAGGTAATAATCACAACCAGTAAAATAGCTAATTTCTTTTGATGACAAGAAATTTGTATGTGGTGTGTTTGGGAATTATTTTATTTTGTTTGACATAATATTTAATATGTTGAGATTAGCTGGCAAATTGTTGCAGGACATGAATTTTCCTTTATGTTATCTTGGGAAATTGATTTTGTTTACATCACAAGGACATGATTTGAAGCTTTCAAACCAGAAAACTGTTGATCATAATGTGTTGTATACTTGGTCTGATCCAATCCATTATTCATTTACTTTCTAATGTGATATTTTATTGAAAGTTCAAAATTTATCTGGTACAACCTTCATTTTCAACAAAAATCACCTAAATATGACCAACTTTATAATGAGATTAGACCTCTCCTTGAACACAACACACATCCTAAATTCCACCATTTATAGTTCTAACAAAATGCACCTTTTTGTTAAGGTAGGTCTAAGGATGGCAGAAAACCCCAAGACGAAAGTCGAAAGCTCGGATAAATCCCAAACTTTCTTCCAAAACCTATCGATAGACACTAGCAAGACTCCATCCCGGTCCACACCATCATCGCCCCTTAGCCTCAGGAAAACTGCTAGCGTTCGAAACAGCTGCCTGTGCTCACCCACCACACATGCTGGCTCCTTCAGATGCCGACTCCACCGGGCCCACCCGGGCCTTAGGCACGGCAGCATGTCTGTGGGGTCAAAGCTCTCGGAACTTGCCGGAAAATCGGATGGAGGCTCGTCGTGATTATAGTCTTTATCCATAGTATTGGGGTTGCATTGGGGTTATTATATACAATGACTTTTTTTTTTTTTTTTAACTCAATGGACAAAAATCTCCCAAGTACTTTGAAGAGCCTACTTGTGTCTGTATATATAATTTGATAATACATAAATTAGTATATATATAATCTTGAGTGTCTTGTCTATGTTTTGCAGCTTTGTTTGGCCTTTTATTATTAATCTCAACCTCAAATGAGGATTATAATTCGAAAAAAATTCCCTCAAAATGAGTAGTTCAACTCCAGATGCAGTAACTATGCATAAAACTCAAACGATAGCCAACTTCCAGCCAGAAAAATATGAGAAAAAGAGCTTCTCATCATCTAGCAAAAGAAAATGCCGAGAACCACCTTTCTTTTGTAGAATTTCAGAAAACAGTTCCTCAGAAGACTAAGCCATAGATAGCATCAGAATGAAGACTACAAAAACATACAAAAACAAACAGTAAAATAACAAACGCTATGCGAACAATAGAGATAGTTAAGGTTCATCAGGCTTTCACAATATTACATACTCAAAGCAACCAAACATACATCGGTCAAGCTGACCCGTCACTACAGGAGGACGCATAACACCAGCAGCTAAATAAACATTTAGGCATCATAAGATATTACACATCTGTACTATACACACTATAAATTCTATCACTCAAATGCTTCCTTCAAGAGGATATAATTATAAATTACGAAACTACAAACCCAAATCTTTAGGCAGATTATGCGAAAACCCGGTTCACCTTCCCCAACTGCAAATAACCCCACAAGGCAATTTGCAAAAATATAAAAATCCAAGGATAAAATGGGGTACTTTCGCAATTAGGCTAGAGATTAGGATCAGTTACGTCAAATCACTCACAGTCACATAGGGCAAGTATCTCCTTCTTCTTCTTCTTCGACTTTTTCAGGCATCATGGAGTTCCGGCAGAGTGGACAC